ATATTTTTGGGTTAAGTACCTATATTTAACTTTATATTGCATGAAGCGATCATTGTAAGTGAATTTTAGGCTTTTAAAACAACTGGATTTCCCTCAAGGGAAGTTCTCATTGTTTTTCGTTGGATATAAGTCTCCCGATGAGATACCGACTGGAGAGGACGACAAGAAGCTTTTTGCACTTTCAACGCCTGGCACATTAGAACTTACTCAGTAAGTTAATTGCACATATTCAAATATCGGGTTTTGTAAGAAAAAACAGACTCCTGAAAATCGTAATTTTTTGAGAGAAGGTAGGTTTTCCTCTTTAAAAAAATTGATAATTAGTAAAAAGAACCGATAATGCACTGAACTGAAATGGACTAGTGGTTTCCAATTTGCTCAAGTACTTTTAAACGATTTGCCACTGATTAATATATTCTCTAGCGCAGTTTGGTGGCAGTGTACTTTAAAACGCATGTGATTTTCGCTTCCTTGTGCTGTATTTCTCTAGCTTTTTAACTGTTCGTAATTTTTTCTTCATATTTGGTTTTCCTTTCTGGTCCATTTCGTAAACAGGTTTCTATCGAAATAATCAATCAGATTTTGGAGTAATGGGCTGCTGTGTTGTCGTGGTTGAGATAAGTTTAGAAGAGAATTTTCTTTGTTGTCAATAGGTTACTTTTGCTTTAACCTTATGATTTAATGAGATTTTTATGGTGTAAAGTTTTCAAACGAGAATAACAGTTGACTTAGTTGGATTTGGTTTTTTAACTTTTAAGCAGAAATACTGTTGGGTGAGGAAGACAAGTCAAGAAAATGATTCCTGGTGGAAGCTGAATCAGTACCTTTGACATACAGAGTAATGTTAACTGTTTTGGAGTGATTGCTCAATAATGTCAGTCATTCAAGGGCACCAGTAATTATTAATTATTGATTACTTCTGTTTTTAGACCTTTGTAGAAAAAATGACTGAAATGGTCCTGGAAAGGTGCGTACATGATTATTAGTTTAACAAAGGAATGCAAAGTCGAAAAGATGATAAGGTTTTAGCGCATTTTGCATTGGGAATGGTTACCCTATCTGCCAAACTCGCTAGAACTAGCTTTAAGGGGTTCAAACAGTGTCAACGGAGCCGCGAAACGCTGAATAAACAGGGTTTTAGAATCTTTCGGTAACGGCTTGTAAAAGGTGGTTGTAGGGTGAAAAAACACAAATAGTCGAGGGAGTACTGTATTAAAAAGTAATTTATAATGATGTTGAGGGAAGCAGAAAATTAAATGCAAATTCTTCAGAAGTTTGGTGGTCTTGAAATTCATGACTGAAGATGACTAGGCATTTTGCTCAAGCTTTTTTTTATATTGTTGGTTTGCTGTCGTGGTAACACTGTACCTCTAGTTAATGATTACCAAAATTTTGTTTTAGTGTCGTTAGATACTTTTTACTACGCTATATATTTTGTGATAATTTTGCAGTAATTGGGGAACCGAGAACGACCCGAATTTCAGCTACCACAATGGTAATAAGGACCCACGTGGTTATGGTATGAGCTTGTTCTTTTCGCAATCATGTTCGAGCACTATATACTCAATGAGTTTTTCTTTAACGGGAAAGTAAGGTGTGATTTTTAGGTCACATTGGGATTGCTGTTAGAGACGTTTACAGCGCTTCAAAACGTTTTGAAAAATACGGTGTAAAATTTGTGAAGAAACCAGACGATGGGAGAATGAAGGGTCTTGCATTCATTGAGGACCCAGATGGATATTGGATTGAAATATTTTGTCCTAAAACAATATAATTGTTCTGACATTCTTAGCTTTAATAGGGAATAAAACATTTAATGATTTTGTATTTTTATGAAAACCATTGCATAGGTAGAATTCAAATTGTGTATTAAAAAAGAAAGACAAATTGATTTAAAATTATCCATTCTGTTCTAGGCATATCTTTTTTCTAGCTATTTGGTCAGGTTTTGCACGTTAATGATTACACACTATAATTATACATTTTATTAATAAATGGAATTATGGCGCAGTAGGTCGCATTAGGTTATGTGGATATTCTCCTTTTGTTTTCGGGCTGAATAGTAGGTTTGATCTATGCGGGATGGGATCGTGGGGTCCTGGAGTTGGGACGTGGCCAGCGCAATAAACCTTAAACGTTATAGTTGACAGTTACTATAAATTTTTACTTAGCAATTTGCAATGAGATCTCATACGTTAACTTAATCTGCTTCTCACTACGCCGTTGTGGATTAGATATAATACGATCGGTATGGTGTCTTTTGTCGAAATTTGGTAAATGGGGAGGGAGGGAGGTTTAAATGAAATTGAAAAAATTTTAACTATATTTGAGTCGTTTTAAGTATCTGGCAGCCAACTTTTTTTATTTTGGTTCTATACGTTGGATAGGTCCTGAATCGTCGTCACCTATTTTTAAGGGACAGGTTATTATGAAGACCTTTTTCACGGTTCAGGAGGGATTTCTCTACGGCGAAAACTTTGTAGCAGTTGTAAGAAAAAATGGCATAATTTTTGTTGAAGTTCTGTCTTAAATCTTTGTTTTTGTGCTAGCTAGTATTCGCTTTCGGGAATAAAAGATTTCTTTATGACGAGTTATAAACTGCTTAGTAGGGGTGGCTTCAAATCTGTTAAAAAAAAGTATTAAACAATAAATAAAGAAATATTAAGCAGTCTGCACTGTTTTATCCAGCAATTTTCCCACTGGTTATGAGTACAACCAGTTTTTAGATTTTTTAAAAAAATAAGTCGGAATGTGAATTATTGTCGGAGCTGTTTTGTCACTTAAGTGTTGTTGCTGACTTTATATAAATTTCTGAAATAATAACTTTTCTACCTCGAGGTCCTGTGTATCATTTCGATTGTTGTGATAGGTTTTTAACGACAGTCGGGTGCCGCAAATCCAACACTTGAAGCATCCCTGAAACTGGTCGTTGTGTAACATCACGGAATTAATGAATGCGTAAGGTAGATTTTTTGAGACTTATAGAGTTATAGCTTAGATTGTTAGATAGTCTTAAAACGGTTTTGTGACTCACCGATGTGTAAAGCATTCTAACGCAGAGAAATTTAAGAATCTTAAGTCTAATGATACAGCTCAATCCAAATGTTTTAAAAATTGAACTGCTAAAAGCGTCTAGAACTTCAGATAATAGTATAATCAAATGGGATCAGGTGTAATTCACTGCTGTTTAATATGTTCCTTACTTAATCATTTTTTTTTTCTTTTCAACCGAATGGCAGCATAACTGGCATTTTTTAAAGCATATCAAATATTTTTTACAAGAACGGTGTTCTATAATAAAAATACATTTGGACAATGTTTGTGAAAAGGATTTACCTTATGGAAAAGAACACCGTCTTTGAGGGGACCAATTTTATCATTAAAGTATGTTGGCCGTTTACATCGGAAACATGGTTCTTTCATTTTGTCTGCAACATTTTCTTCAACTAAACCATTTTTTCTCACACTTTAAATGAAATCAACATTTATCAGCCCGTCGGAATGGTACACGAATAACGCCATAAACATCAAAATTTAATATATCAATCAAGCAAAAAAAACAGAAAAGAAAAAATTTGCAAATAATATACTGTATAGTAATAGGATGCGCCTAAATAGAAATAATATGGAACGAGTTTTTACTGAAGAATTTAAGTGGGTTTAGGCGATTGTAAATCAAAAAATTAGAAGCTGATGGGAAGCATATTGCTAAGCATATAAGGGTTAAGTTTGATCTATACAGTACGTTGCGTCAGCAGAGTACAGTTAAAGAAAATTTTCTTACAAATAACAGATAAGTTTGTGAATACTCATAGTACTTCTTCTAAAAGTTCAACAGTACTTTATGCAATCTCAATGATGAACCAGAATTTTAAACTTTTAGCTTATAGTACCTTAAACAATATAATCTGCAGTTTTTTTTCACCGCTCTCTTTTTTTTCAAAGTTTGAACAACTGTAAAAAAAGAAATAATTTTTTAAAAACTGAAGTGCAATAAGTTTAAGAAAATATTTGTAGAAATAACAGCAGCATTTAATGACTGAACATTCAATTAAACACTACTAGGTGTGTTCTATTTTTCCAGACATCATTCGAATATGGTCCTGTGAATTGACGCCTGTGAATTTAACGGCAACCAAAAACTGACAAGAATTTAGTTAAAAAATCCAATAGGTATGAAACAAAAAGCCAAAAAAAAAAGTTAGACATTCAACAAAAACTGATTCTGCTAATCCTCGGGAATGAATACAGCAGCAGCAACACTTATCCGCCCAAACAACGCTACTTCTTAGACCTTTCTGTAAACAATTACGCCTCCATAATGTAAACGAACTTCTGGTTTCTTGAACAGTGAAATAGGTTTGTTAAAAAACACGAGAAAAAAAAAAGAAACGTAAAAAACTTTGAAATAACAATTAAGAAAAAAGGAAGAAACAAAAAGCAATAGCCTCGTAGTTCAAAATAGAAACTTTCAGAACAATTGTCAGCTTTTTCATTTTCCTAAACCATAATCCGCTGTCAGGTATAGGGGAGTATTCAAAAACCAACTATGCCAAATGTATCTTAACTGTAGCATACTTTCTTTGTAGGTTTTCAAGAAACATATTGATATAGCAAAACGTTTTAAGTAATAATGCATAAATTATTAAGTCAACTAATCATAATTAAGCGAGTAATAATAATACTTTATTGCTTCATTCTAGAAATTACTATTCTTTTTTGTTGCAAAAAAGTTTCAGCTAAAAAAAAAAAATAATTTATAATTTAACAAAAAAAGAGAAAAAAGAGTGGAGCAGAACCTACTGTTTATTTATTTGTTCAACAAATTAGATGAATCTAAAAAGCTAGCAAAACAAATTTAAACACTGCAAATGACAACAGTAATTTGGGTAATAAGTGTTGACAGTGGTATTCAGACAGAAAAACAGAACAATTCAATTCATTTTTATTTCTTATTAATTTTATTTTTAAATTTTAGTTATTCTTTTTTTTATCACTTTCTTTTTCATTCAATTGTTCAATAAAATTCAAAAAAAAAAAAAACTCTTTATTTTTTTTGCAACAAAAAAAAAAAAAACTTTTTTATTGAATGGTGCACAGGTAAAACGGAGAAAGCAATGAACTCTGCAGTCAGTAGTAGTACCACGAAGACCGGTATCGACACAGTTCTTCTGCAGTGCAAACAGATGCTGCTGAGAGAATCATCGTTCGATTCAGAGCCCATTGTGTGTGTATGTTTCGCTGTAGGTCTGTCTGTGTACGTCAGGTACCAAATGCAGTTGCCGAAGATTTCAGTAAACTAGTCGTTCCAGTCAACTTCTTTCTTCTTTCTTCAAATTTTTTTTTCTCTTATTATTCTTTATAAACAAAAAAATTTCTCTCTATTTTGCTTTTTTTTCTTCTCTCACTTAATTTTTTTACACCTTTTGTTCTCATTGAAAAAAAAAAAAAATTATTTATTTTTTTTTTTTGCCAAATAAACAATTTATTTGAACTACATTTCAAAAAGAAAAACGGAATTATAACTAATATAGTAAATCTCTTTTTCTTTTTTTTTCTAAATTGTCAAAAAACAATCACTGTTTAAGCTTTATTGGCAGCGTAATAACAGCTATAAATAGAATCTACGGCGATGTGTATGGTATCTAAAGCACATCAACAGTAGCAATTATTTTTGTAGACCAAAAATTTCCAACTGACTATTGGTTGGTCGATTGTACAGTTGTTGCAAAAAATTTGTTTCAAATAAGCTTCAAATAAAACTGTCATTATTGTTTGCTTTAGCAACAACTTTCTGTCAAAAAAAAAAAAAAAAGTTTAAGAAGAAGACAAAAAAAGGGGAACAAAAAGTTAGACGGAAATTGATGTGTCATCAAATTTTGGAACAAATTTAAAGTTGAGACAAGAAATGCAGTAGGGAAAGAAGGTTGAAAGAATAGATGTTAAACAGATAGTATTGTTGCTTTTTTCAATGCATTAAAAACAATGTTTAAATGTGCGAAGAAACTTGTAACGAAGGTTTCAAAAATCATGTGAAATATTTGGATGACAAAGCAACCCTTTCCTTCCCCCCTCCCCTTCCCCCCCCTCCCCCAAAATAACAGCATCAATGTTGATCAATGTTTAAGTAAATGTAAAGCAAAGAAGAAGAAAAGAAAATTTCTTTTCTTTTAGTCATGCAGTGAGAAACATTGACTGGTAAATAAGTCCAAAAGAATAGTTAACAAAACGTGGGTTAGTCAGTGTCTATCTGTGTGTTTGTGTGTTTGTGGGTGGGTGTGTGTGTGTGTGTATCTGTCTGTTTCGGAGACAACAGTACAGGTAAAACGTTTAGTGTGAGCCAACAGCCTCGAGAGTTTTTAAAGTAAATAGATGGTGAGCAGAAGTTTCGGCATGAAAAAAATCTGCTATTTTATAGCAGCAGTTAAAACAGCAACAGCAACGGCAACACCAACAACAAAAACAAAAACAAAAATATTGCTAATAATGATCTTAATAATGACACTTATAATGATAATAATAATAATAATAATAGTAAATAATAATAAGAAAAAAAATTTTATGTTATTAGAATTATGAAAAAAAAAAGGTTTTTTTTTTTTGAGTAAGTTTACTGAATATTGAGTAATAAGTTGCAAGTTCAAAGAAACTTTCTTACCGTATTCAACTGTTTTCTATCTATTGACATTTTATTGCTTCTTTTTATTGTTCTTACATTGCAAAATCACTAAAAAAAAAATCTTTTATGAAAAAAACAGTTTGAAATTTTATTTTATTACTTTTTTTCTTTATTAAAACCTAAAAAAAAAAATGAAAATCAATATTGTATTTGTCAAATTTGGATATATCAATTGATAAGAATCTGTTAAGAGGAAAATAAAAATGAACAACAGCAATAAGCAACTAAAATTTTGGTGCTTTAGCAGTTACTGCAATTTCAACTAATTATCCGACAATTTGATCAACAATAATTCAGCGTTAAATAGTTTTGTGAAAAACAAAGCAGAAGGACCGTAATAATAATAGCGATAATAATAACAATAATAATAGTAATAATGACAGCAATTATAACAGTGATTTCTGAACAATTTTTTACATTACTTTTTTCACCTAATGTCAAAAAAAAAAAAAACTATATTAGTCAGTCGGTAAAGAAATCAACTAAGTTTTGATTGTGCAGACAACCAAATATTATGCAACATCGATCGGATATCCATTCCTAAATTCGTCAATGAGCTAAAAAAGCATAAGCATAGATCAACAAAGCACTTGTAATGGTTGGCAGATAGTGTGGACTGTTGAAGCGGTTTTATTGCACTCAGACAAAGCATAGATCAAAATCGAAAAAACTAATAATTGTAAGAGTAGTAGAAACAGTGGTAGTATTGCGGTAGTGACAGCAGTAGGTAGCAGTAGGAAGTTTAGCAATCAAGAAACTGTCTACGCTACTAACATTCGTTCGTCCTAGTTTTTTTTTTTTTTTTTC